ATCTCCTTCAAAAATCTCCAAAAACGATCAGCTATGGAGGAAATAAGCCCCAAAATCGCGGAAAAGACGAGCTTAAAAACATCCTGCCCAGGCATATTTTCCTTCTTCACAAACGTGGTCAAACCCTCGCGTTCGCGAAGCACAAACTTACTTTGACCAATTTTTCCTCTATGCGAACGCGACATGACCATCGCGAATGCGATGGTTCCTCAGCCTTACCCTTCGCGATCGCACACCCTCTCTCGCGAACGCGAAGAACAAACACGACCTCAGACCAGCTGACCAAAAAGACCCTACGCGAACGCGACTTCCATCTCGCGAACGCGATGCACGAGAATCCAACCCTTCGCGAACGCGGAGCCTCAATCGCGAACGCGAAGTCTAATCTTCTACTGACCTCCACTGACTCTTCGCGAACGCGAGGGTCCACTCGCGAACGCGAAGAGTAAAAGCCTGCAACAGCTGAACCTGCAACTTCTGCAATTTTTCCAACTTCAAAATGATCCGATTGACCACCCGAAACTCACCGAGGCCCCCGGGACCTCAACCAAAGGCACCAACATATCCTAATACCTTATTCAAACTTGTTCCAATCATCAAAACACTTCAAACAATATCAAATCAACCAAAACACATCGGATCAAGCCTAAGTTTCTAAAAATCTTCTGAATTCCGCTTTTGATCAAAAACCCAACCAAACCACATCCGAATGACCTGAAATTTTGCACACACATCCCAAATGACACAACGGAACTACTGTAACTTTCGGAATTTCATTCCGACCTCTATATCCAAATCTCTTCTATCAACCGGAAGTCGCCAAAATATCAACTTCGCCAATTCAAGCCTAAAGCTACTCCAACCCTCCAAAACTCATTCCGATCACACTCCTAAGTCATAAATCACCTCCTGAAGCTAACCGAATCATAAAATTTCCGATCCGAGATCATATACAAACAAGTCAAATCTTGGTCAAACCTTTCAAATTTCTAGCTTCAAACTGAGAACTGCTCTTCCAAATTCATTCCGATTACCCTGAAAACCAAAACCAACAATTACATAAGTCTTAATACATCATACGGGGCAGGTCATGCCCGAGAATTGACGAGCCAGGTGCAAAAGCTCAAAACGACCGGTCGGGTCGTTACAATAAACTTTTTGGCATCTAATCCTTTCAAAACTGGAGGTGCGCCTGGTATCTGGTCTACACGGGAGTTATAAGCCTCCACCTTCTTATCATTGTCTTAGATTTTCTTTTCCCCAGAATCGATCCTCTTAGTGAGCTCTTCGAGCATCTTCATAATCGTGGGGTCAGTCCCCGAGCCACTTTCATCGGGCCTTTATAGCGTTGGCTCAGCACGTCGATTGTTTTCATGTTCAGCTACACTTGGAGTCTTATTTTGACTTTGAAGTTGAGAAATGGCGATCTGTTGAGCTTGCAGCATTTCGAATATCACTTGGAGGTTGATTCCTCCATCACCCAGGCCTTGTGTTCCTTGGCCACCAGGTCGGGCGTCCCTGCGTACACTCCCTCCGGGGTCTGTGCCTAAATCCGCGTTTAGAGCAATATGAGAACTAACATCAACTGGTTCCATATTTGGCACTTCCCTAGGGTTTACCGGCACCGACCCCTACATTGTTGTTTTCACCAAGACCTTCGTTGTCATGAGCAGGTGCATTTTGTGAGCTAGACATGCTTCAGCCTGAGAATCAAAAATACTTGACAAGAAAAAGTGTAAAAATAACGTGTGTAATAAGAATCAGCAAAGAAACAATCACTATTATCTTTAGCCCCACGGTGGGCGCCAAACTGTTTACCTCGAAAATACGAGTAACAATTAAATTTGATTTGTGATTTTAAAGATACGTGATTAGATTCAATGCCAATTAATAATTAAGAAATATGAAGTAGAAGTGAAAGAAATAAGTGTATCAAACCAATATAGCTCAGCAGCAGTGGCCTCGAGCTTAGTGACCTCGAGGTGGGTTTGGGACAATAAGAACAACTAAGCAAGAAAAGTAAAGTATGAGTTGCAGATCTAAAAGACAATTCTGATGAACAGTAGGCAAAAAGTAGAGAGTATATTCTTTTCTCAATGATTAGATGATGTTACAAATAATTGGGGTCCCCTTTATATAATAGGGGAATCCTAAATATGGAATATTTCTATTTACAGTATGGAATATTCCTGATACAGCTGTCTAACCGCCTAGTACGGAATCGTACAATCATATTTCGGGATTTGCACCGTGATCTTAGGGACATGGCAGGAATCTAGTCCATTCTGTTACAAGTCCATAACGGTACTATCCCAGAGTCGAGCATACTCGACCCCGGCAGATGGTGTGCCCTGTCTGTGAACTCGAATCTGGTCCACCGGGCTCGAACTCGACCTTGCCCGGACTTGGGCCCAGGATGGACCTTCGAGCCTATAAATCGAAGGCCTATGATTTTGACCGTATACAGTAAACCTTATAAGTTTCTCAGATTCATATACATCTTCCTAGAAATTTTGTTATGTTCAATTGTTCATCTAACTGTTTTAGGTTTTACTTATTGCTTTCTTTTATGAAAAAGGAAATTGATGGTTTAAACAAAGGAGAAAAAAAGCGAAAAAATTTGAAGTCGACACAAAAATACATTCAACTGTACTAATACAACTCGGGTCAAACGTGCATAATACCTTCTTGAGAGCAATTGATATATACTTTTGAGGTCCTACACACATTAAAATGTATTTAAGTTTCATATATTTTGGGGTCCTACAAATTAAAACTATTTAAGTTCCATAATTAAGAAAGTTTGACAAGGAGAAAACGAATTTTTATGAGGACAACGTACTCTTCAGTCTAACTGTTTTAGATTTATTTATTCCTTCTGAAAAGCAATTCTTATTGTTTATAATGAGGCAATTCAATAACTACCCCAATTAATATCTAAGAATTAATATTAGGTGATTTATTAAGAACGCGCAACGAATTGTATGGATTTGAAGCATCATCTCTCATTCAATTTGAAGGAGAAAACAATATCACTAGTGGATTGTGCTGTTAGACAAACTAATAAGAAAATAATGCTCGTTTAAATCATACTGCCATAAGAGACCTTAGAGTTAAGTCGAAAAATTAAGAGATTTAGAAGTGAAAGTGACATATGGACAGGCAGTCAAAGAGCAAGGTCTTCAAAGTTCCATATAGGTGCTAAAAGCAAACAAGTTTTGATGTTGCTTGTATTAATAATTGTCCTTCACTCTTTAGCTCTCATAGCTATATCTATAGGTTTGGCCAACATCTACCCCTTTTTACTCCCTAATTTCTTAGATCTCTAACCCAAAGGCCCACCAACAAAAGGATTTTAACATATCAACAATAATAACAACAACATACTCGGTGTGATTTTATAAGTAGTGTCCAGAAAGAATAGGGTATATGCAAACCCTTACCTCAAAAATATTATAGCTGCTAATCAAATATAAACAAATATATTAATTATGGAGTACAAATATGCACATATATATATATTATATGTATATATATATATATATATATATACATATATATATATATACCGGCCATTATTCAGGCACGACAATACTGTAAATCCCCCC